AGATATGTCCAGTAGACATTGTTATATGAAGCGATGAAAATCAAGATGAATTTAGACCTTACCTCACACCATGCACAAAAATTAGCTTAAAATAGATTACAGATTTAAGTAAAAGTGCTAAATGTACAATTTTTGGAAGAAAACATAGGAGAAAAAATTTCAAGACCATGGGTTAGGCAAAGATGCCTTAGATATTACACCAAATGCATGACCCATAATAGAGAAAATTGATAAAGTGGATTTTAAAAATTGAAAACTTTTGTGCTTCAAATGACACACTTAAGAAAATGAAAAGACAACCTACAGATGGATAGAAAATATTTTCAAATCATATATCTGATCAAGGGCTTGTTTGCAGAACATACATAAGGGTAGGAGCTTCGTTCTCTTGTTCTCTGTTGTATCTTAAGCATCTGTTGCAGCATCTGACATCTAGAAGGTGCTCAATAGTTATTTGTTGGAATAAATGAATGAACACAGCATTAATGCAGTTTGGAGAAGAGCCTTCAGGAACTTAATAAAACCTAAGGACGAGAGAAAATAATCTGGAACATTCTTAGAATGTTTATGAAGCACTTGTACACACTGCATCGGTTCCTTTGTACACTGTAGATGTCATTATATTCATGCCACTGTTAAGAAAAATGAGGCATGGAGGGATGATTTTTTTTTGCCCAAGGTCAAATACTGTTAAGTGGGAGAGTGGGAGCTCATACCTTGCATTTCTGTTTCCACCTTCAGTGAGATGTGGTTTCTGCTGTAGTTTAGGGAAAGTGCTTCTTCACTTCTGAGCCTTGTAGCTGGCATTGGCATTCTCCTTTTCTTTTTCCAACACTGTGAGGCATCCAGATCGCTAGGCGTTTGGGCTGTTTTCCCAGAATTTGCTCCCTAGTAACCTGATGGCAGACGCACTTGGCTGATGCAATGAAGAGGATGCCATGTGAAAGCCCAACACTATTTTTCACCGTGTTTGCTCTTTAGAATTTGGCCTCCTAGGGCTATAATTCTTATTTTCGACTTCCCCATTAGACTTTGGTATTTCACCAAATGTGGCTTGGCTGCCAACTGGTGTCTTCCTGACCTAAATTCACGTGCACTTTTCTCTGTTTTTCCAGCATCCCTTTTTATTTTTGGCTGTCATCAGTCTCCAAACTTGAAATTGATATGCAGGTTAGATCCAGCCATGGCCAGACTGTGTGGAGTGCACGAATGTGAGGGCATGGCATCCTGCAGACTCCATACTCATGATTTTTATGGATGGAGGTGGAGGTGGTATGACATGATGCCAGTTACAATATGATGGCATCAGGGAGTATGTTCCAAGCGTTGTGTTGGGAGCATTCTCCGAAGATAAAGACGTTGATTGAAACTGAGAGGACGGCAGTGTTGTGACACTTTGAATAAAGGACTAGGCTCTAAGGGACATGGACTATTAGCCTCAGCACTGCTTCTAGTTGTGTAGTTATGTTTCAAATTATTTCATCTCCCGTATCCTCTATTTTTTAATTTTTCAAGTAAAGAGGTTAGAGCGGATAAACTTGGAGATCTTGACTGCTATCTAAAATTAAGTTAGATAGCCCAGCAAGAACTAATGAGGGCTTCTTGAATCTAGGTATGAACTTTATTCTCATAGTGATATGATTTGGTTTTTACTTTCAACTCTCTAAGTCAGTTTTTAAACTTCCTGGGCAGAATGTGAGAGCTAAAGTTGGGCAGTCCACTAATGGGGTAAATGGTCTGGAGATGAAAAACTGTGAAGATTGTTAATTGAAGAAGTAGAGGCAAGGATTGAGACCTGAATCCGATACTTCCTGTGATACTGTCCTGGCACGTGTCATGCGAAGCGGCTGTAACAATTGTGGTTTGGAAACTTACCTCACTGGTTGTATGTCATGTGCAACTTCTGGCCACAGTTCATTGCCTTTTACGTCCCTAGTTCCCAAACAGCCAAGATCAGCCCGGGAGGACGGAAAGACCAGGACCCCCCAAGGCAGGCGGCCTGGCAGAGCAGAACAAGTCCTGGTACCAACTGTGGGTTCTGGTCTGCATTCTGCCACTGACACGCTCTTTGGGCCTGACCCCTCCTGTCAAAGGGGGAGCTGAACGCGAGGATATTTAAATATCTGTGCTCGGTGAGGAAACATGTGTAGCACCACTTTGTCAGATGCGAGGAGCCTAATTTTCATGCACGGTGAGGTTCTAACAAGCGTAGCAGTCATAATCATCATAAACAAACCATCAGGGCTGCAATGGAAGCGTTAGCCCAGGCACAGTCCATTGCTTTGCTGATGGTTATCACACAAGAGCGGCTGCTATGGGAGTGAGAATTCTCACTTAGAGATGCTTCCTGAAAGTGACTAAAACCGAGTTGGACGCCTGAGACTAAACGGCACCTTTAACGTCATCCAGTCCAGTTTTCTATCTGATGGTTCAGTGTCCTCTAAACGCCCTTTTAACCCAGGCTTGCACTCATCCCATGGTGGGAAATTCACCGCCTTGTTAGGGCATTGCAACTTTTAGAAAGTTCCTTTTTATATGTATGTCAATCAAGCTGAAAGCCACCTTCCGTTGCTGCTGTGAATTGATGTTCAGACAACAAAAACTTTTATATCACATAAACACATAAAAGATTGCCTGTTTCTAATTTCTGGGAGGAACCAAGAATGATATGAATGAGATGACTGTTTCTGATGTGTCCTCCTAAGGAAAGCCAGGCTTACAGTGGGCTGGTAGCTGTGAGAGATTCGTTTCTTAAAAGGTGATAAGAATAAATTGTACTACAGTTTGGTAGATATCTGATTTCAGAAGAGAAGCCCCATTTTTATCTGTGGGTATTTATTTCATGTATTTACACGTAATAGTTGGTGTATTAAATGACTGCTTTGAGCATCTCCTGTCTATAGGGGACCGTGGTAAGTTGCAGAGCAGACAGAGGCACTGGTGCCTCATCACAGCACATCATTCACACATTGACTCACTCAGCAGACGTTTCTTGAGAAATGCTTGGCGGCTGGTTCTGGCTCTGCCCTCGTGGAGTTTGCACTCCATGAAGGGAGAGAATGTTTGATATTGGTCATGCTGTATGGAAATTATTGTTGACTTTGTCATCTCTTTGCTAGGGGTTCTGTGCTTGTGCATGACGGACTTGCCACTGCCTGGTACGTTGTCAGCCATGGTAAATATTTGGTAAATGAGTCAGTGGCTGGGTACATGAAGGGAAAAGACATAGACTTTGGCATTTGGTACTCAGAGCTAGATCCTGACTCAGCGATTTATTCGCTGTGTGGCTGGGGATAAGGCCATGCGGCTTTATAAAATAGGGAATTATTGGGTTGTTGAAAAAGTCATGACGCATTTTTGCAACGAAAAACAAAAAAATACGTCATGACTTTTCCGACAGCCCAATATTTCGTAGGGTTAGTTGTGAGGATTGAAAGAGGTAATGCTCAGAGTGCCTAGCACAGTGCCTGGTGCACAATTCTTAAAAAAGAAAAAAAAGGCTTATTCCATTTCTACTGTAGCTCCCTAAGGCACCTTATCCATCTGTACAGGAAAACTGATGAGAACGTATTTCTAGACTTCATTGGTTTGCTCGTGTTTTGAAATGAAAGATAGAGCTCCCCAGAAGAGGCCCCACCCCCGAGCCCCTTGAAACGGGCGTAAATCAGCTTTTCCGTGATCGGGAGGAAAGCCAGAGTTGCATTTGAGGAAGATGAAAAAGTTCTGGTGATGGATGATGGTGATGGTTGTACAACATGGTGAATGTACTTAATGCCACTGAACTATACACTTCAAAATTGTTAAAATGGTAAATTTTTTGTTTGACTTTGTTTCTGTATTCTTACCTTCCCCGTGTCCGTGATCTGTAAACAGATGTTTAAGTACATAAAAGAACCTTGTCACTTAAAGGTACCCCATAGGGAATCCTTTTTAATGTCAGTCATCGCCTGTCATATGTCAGATGGGGGAGGTGCTGGGCATGCTGGGTGCTCCTGGGACAGGGTAGGGGTGGAGCTGAAAGCTGGGGAGAGTCAGGGCCTGGGCAGTCGGACCCCACTGCAGGGGGAGTTTCTGCGTGTGTTGCTTATAGTCTGTAGGGACAGAATTAACTCAGGCTTTACTCAGGCAGATCACTAACCCAGGAGGCCAGTCTGATGTGGGGACACAGCAGTCATCATCTAGGTGTTAGAAGTAGCGACAATGCTTTGTGGACAGCAGCATCCTGATTCTGGCCACCCAGTCTTTTTACTCATAGCCAGACCCAAAGGGAGAGAAATGGCTGGAGTTCAGGGGGAACAAGAGTGCTAACTAGGGATTCAAAGCAGTACCCTTCACGTGGACTACGCCAGTTTGGTGGTGTCAGGGAAGGGCTGTGGCTGGGAGGGCTCACCGCTGCCCACGGCTTACTGGATGCCTGGCGCGAGGCTCCAGCTCGCCAGCGAGTACGCGGAGCTGCTGTGCTCCCTCCCTGCTAGGGCGAATCCAGAGAGGGTCAGGGATGCTCTCGCTGGTGAAAGGCTGCAGTGACTTGCGCTGCGAGGAGCAGGGAAGGCCAGAGCTGACCCTTCCCCACCCCTTTGCTTCCCTCAGGCTGGTGTGGTTTTGTGCTTTTAAAACACACTTCTTTTATTGTTGAGACAACTAGTGTTATAAAAGGACTCGCCAATTAGAAAACTGGAAGGTTGGTCTTTATTTCTAGAGCGAGAGCTTAGACTTGCCGAAACACTTTTGCTATCATCGAGCAGCGGTTCAGTCTCATGGCTGAGCCCATCCCCAGAATTTCTGAATCGCTGTGTCCAAGGGAGCCTGGGAATTTGCATTTCTGTAAGTTCCCAGGGAATGCTGCCACGGCTGTCAGAGGCCATGCTTTGAGAACCAAAATCAGAGAGTAACCCATTTATTCACCATGTTCTGAATGTAAATTGCATATTTTTTTGTCAAGTCCACCATTTCAGCAATTATCTTCTATTAATGCGCTTGTTTATGTCTCCTTTGAACAGGTATTTTGACGTTGGACTGCATGATTTCTTAATCAGGTAAGCCAATAATTTTTATTTTCGATATCATTGAATAGCATGTCTGTTAGGGAAGACTGAGATGAAAATCAAATCCGTGTTCAATGTCTTGATAAATAGTGACAGCTGTATTTGTGTCAAGAAAACACATCAGCACTATGTTTTTGTGCCCCCCAGAATCACACGAGATTATCCTTGTTAAACAATCAAAGGAAATTATGTGTAAAGGGGTTTACATATGAAGTGATAGCTGCCCAAGAGCTCAGACCAGCTTAATTCCACCTGCTGGGCCCTTGGAAAGACAAACAGAGAAGAATGCCAGCTTGCATTCATGTATTAAACAACCCGCTTACCCAATTCTCCCTCCATTGAACTTAAGCTTTGTCAACTGAATCTATTGGTTGTTTTACAGTCATAAAGACACAACCTGTTCATAATTGGAAGACATTACAGATGGCAGTTTGTATCCTAGTTTATTGGATAAACTACTGGAGTTGGCTTATGAGACATATTAATTCCAAGTAGCTATTAAATCAAACAGCGGTTAAATGGAAATATATACCAGAATAGTAACAATTGGTAAGAATATGCGTGATATTTTTCTGCTATCAACTTTGCTGCATTTTCTAGATTTTTTTTTATATCGGGCGTGTATTATTCTAACAATGGTGCACATTATCATTAACATGCCTGTCAGAAATATATGTGGGCAGCAGTAACAGTTGCTGATGGACTGTAAGCTGAAGATTCCCAGGAAACCAGAGATCATGTAGAGTGATGTGCTTTCTGCACACATGTGGCTGTAAATGTGAATTCATTCTGACTAAGAGTCTGCTTGTAAGCAATCTATAAATTACATGTGATTCCTGGCTAAGGTGGTTCCGCTCTCCACATGCGTGACCCTCTCCCTGTGGGTAAGATGCTCTTGAGGGGAGGTGGACATATCGGCACCACCTTTATCCAAAACCAGCAGCATTTCCTCCATGCTGGGTTACATGTGATGGTGTTTCACGAGAGGCCACATGTACCTTGTCCTTTCTTCAGGGCCCCATCCAGGGCTGTGCGTTGAAATCTCTTTGGCCCACCCCAGACTCAAGGACTGTGGGTTGTCCTGGCTTTCTCCAGGATGCCACACATAGATGGTAGTGTGTAAACTGCTACCTTGGACACATCCTGCATTTTAGCTGGAGGGATAAAGGACCAACTGTCATGGGAAAGGCAGGCATGAGAAGTTCAGGTCTAAACTGATCCGATCAAGCTGCCTGGGTCTAGTGCAGGGAGTAGTTTGGAGTTTTGAGTTACTGTTTTGGCACTTTGTAACTGCCATGCTACTGTTTGCATCATTTCCTGTGGTAGATGCCAGTTTGTACTTTTCTTATTTTTCCTAGTAGCTTTCTTAGGGAGGGGAACATGTCTTAGTTACCTTTCTGTGATTAAATTGTATAGAATCAACCTTCAACACACGTTTGTGATAGGAGTGAAGGAATGAATGAGTGAATGAATGAAATGAGGTAAAAAAGGACAATGATGATATATCTGGGAATAATACCATGAGAAAAACAGACATTTGATTTAAAGCTTTCCCTGAGCTTACCACTTCCCAGGTCTGCGGTGAGGGACTTGAAACAGGAAGGAGGGGTGGTCTGCTTCTGGGACCCCTCCTCCCTTTCCTTCTGGGCTCCAACTGTGTCTCCTGTGTTGGGAGGAGGGAGAGGGAACGGTTAAGTGCCTCTAACGTAACCAGTGCTGGGATCCCTTTGTCCTTTTGGGTAGGTCCTGGTGAGATGCTCTAACTGTCACCTTAATCCGTGTTCTGTGAGACAAGCAGAAGTGGGGGAGTAAGGCTTCTGTCTGTCTTGCCATCTCTTGGCAGTTTCCCCCCTTCCTTAATCTGATAGACACAGAGCAAATAACATGTCCCTTGCTTATCCAATTGGGGAATGAAAGGCCCCCTTCTTACAGCCACACCCAGTCTTTGTGACAAGGCTCCTTCCTCTTCCTAAGCCAAGATGGTAGAGAGTCCAAGAGGCCCCTGTCCTCGTCCATCTTTCCAGCTTAGAAGTAGATTGGGGGTGGGGGACGTGGTTCCTGGGAGCAGTCAGTCCTCAATCACTTAGTAATGCCAGGATGGGGTGGGGGTCATACCTTTTAATTTGCAGCCCTCCTTAGAAAATAGGTCCTTTCTGCCCCCAGTGTGGGAAGCGAAGCCTGATGGGGTCTGAGCACTGTTTATCTCTGGGCGCCTGTGAAGAGCTGTTTCGATAGAATGATGATCCTGTGGCCGGGTTGAAGAGGGTGGGGGCTCGTGCAAGTCGGAGGTGAGTGGGTGGCAGCACTAACTCTTTGGAGAAGTTAAGCTGTGAAGGGCAGGAAAGAAAGACGGGGCAGCTGGTGGAGAGGGAGGTTTGAGTGGGGATTTTTTTTCCTTTTTAATTGGTGGAACTCATTATTTAGCCACCAGCAAGTCTGAAGTGCCCTTTAGCCTTAGAGAAAGTGGTCTCCGTTGGCTGGAGAGAAGCCGAGTGTGATTGGTAGGAGCATGAGGGGGCACAGGCAGCGAGTGGTGCCCTCGTAGCCCCAGAGAGCAGTGGCATTTTCCAGTACACATATCACTAGAGAAAACCGGAGAGGGTTGGAGGAGCAAGCGGGGTGTGACTGGAGGAACCCTTCTCATTCTGTGATGGCCAAGAGAAGAAAATACATTTCCCCTTGTAAAAGGGGAGATGGTGGAGAAATTGGCATAGATGAAAACAACAAACAAACAAACAACTCCATTTACTAACCCTAACGTGTACTCTGGTTTGTCAGGCTATGTTGATGCTCAGTGTTTGGCGTAAAGGAAACTGCAGCATGCCTGAAATGAAGCAGCTGCATCTTTTACGCCGATGGAAGTAATGTCGACTTCCCTGAAATGACATAAATTTCCACAAAGCCAAGAGCCCGATCTGTGATCTCAGCCTAGGCAACTGCAAGGAAAGACATGCTTCCTTTTAAGTGGTTGGAGTATTTCGCTGAGCTCTGGGGTAGAAAGGAACTGTCGCGTTTAATGATAAATGTGAGCATTTTTGGTATTGGCGTTTTACGACGACTGTGGGAAAATCCAGTGAGCTCAACCCTTCCACATCTTATAGAAATGAAAAAGATTTCTAGGAAACAGTAATCACAGCTTACCTAAGAATAGCCTCAGAAGAAAGAAAACTGTAGTTGGCTGAAATTCTTCAATGTGACGTTACAAAAGAAAAAAGGAAAAAAGTGACCAGCCTGAGAAAAAAAGATTACAGAAGAAAACAGCTCTGTTTCATTTTAGATAATTAGGGTGCCTCTTGCCATTGATATGCCTTAGGCCAGCAGTTCTCAACCTTCCTAATGTCGCGACCCCTTAATACAGTTCCTCATGTGGTGGTGACCCCCAACCATAAAATTATTTTCGTTGCTACTCTATAACCGTAATTTTGCTACTGTTATGAATTGTCATGTAAATATCTTTTTGTTTTCCAATGGTCTTAGGCGACCCCTGTGAAAGGGTTATTCGACCCCCAAAGGGGTCGCAACCCACAGGTTGAGAACCGCTGCCTTAGGCAAATCTGAAAAAGGCAGTGAGCCTCTGGCATGGTCCTGAAGCTATGTGTGAAGATCTCCAGAGTCCATATGGTTGTCAGAAGAGAAATTCCTTTGCAGAAATAAACAGATTCTGCTTACAGAGTGGTGTTCGCTGTTGTGCTGATTCAATCCTGTACACATGCTAACATTCATACAAACAGTGTGTGCCCTTTCTTTCTTTTTTTTTTTTTTGTGCCCTTTCAAAGCACGATTTTGTTCCGGTGAGAGAGAAAGTAGAATGCGACAGGGGTCATTTCTTGTTGCATCTTTTGTTCTTCTGGAGCTGATCCTGTGAGTCCACTGTGGTCTGGGTGTCTTTGAATTGCCAGACGACAGTGAATTTCAGTCGTGTGTGAATTAATGGCTCATGTGATTCTGAAGTGTGCAAAACTCTTCCTGGCTTTCCCTTGGTGACACCCTATCCCTGACCCGTTCATAAAGCTAGCTCCACGGCAGACTAGAGGGGTTCGGAGCTTCATGAATCACAGGGTAGTTTTTAACGTCCCTTGTTCTGAGTGCCACCACATTGGCTGTAGTTAATTGCATTCACGGTGGTGAAGATGTCTGCTCACCATCACTTGAAATATGTCTTGGATTGTGTGGTGTCTGGTGTGTTCAAAGGAGCCTGCCCCCAAGTCGTTAAAAGAAGGATTAATTTGGGCTAAAGGACCCCTCCTGAAAAGGAGAAAGAAGAGAACTGGGGGTACCCCTCTTTCTTTCCTGTATTTCCTTAGGACTGTTGAGACCTGGTTGGGCTCTGAGCTGCTCTGGAAACAAAGAAGTTGGGGAGAGAGTGAGAATTTGGACCTGGGAGTAAGAACCAGATGGTAATAGGAAGGTAATTATTGGGTTTTCGGAAAAGTCATGACGCATTTTTGCAAGGAAAAACATAGAAAAAATACATCCTGACTTTTCCAACAACCCAATAGCATCTGTATTCAGTCTAGCAGTTTAGAAACAACAAAAATATATGCATGAAATCATTATGTATATTTTCATAGATGAATATAAAAGAAAAGATAAAACCATTATGTATATATTTTGAAACACACACACACACACACACACACACACACACACACACAGAAGTGATAACTGAGAGGCAAGCTACCTGATTTGTTACACAGGATTTTGAATTTTTTATTTTGTAAACATAACATGGAAGTCAACTTTTGTTTAGGTATATAGTTTGTCACAGTGGTATAAAAAGCAAATGAGCTGATTGAAAAGCTGCTCCCACCTGAAGCGAGCCCTAAACTGTGTGTCTTTGCAGTTCTAATTAGGCACTGCGAAAGTCTTTTTGTGGCAGCTGGAGAGGAGATGCGCCACCTGGGAGAGCCACCAGGTCTCTTTTGTCCCTGCCAGCTGCAGACTCACAGCACAGTATCCTTGTTTAAACTCCCTTTCATTCCACTTGTGGA